TTTTGACTATATATAAGGCCAAAGGTATACTTTAAGATTTTTTTAGTCACAACTTTCTACAATTCGTTTTCGTAGTGACAATTGGGTTAAAGTGGGCTAGGGGGCTGTTCTAATATGTAAAGATTATCAGTGTAACGTTCCGATCTTCAGCCAATCAGAACGCAAGCCCTCTATGCTGGGTACAACGGGTAAAATTTTATACCCGAGTATACCCGTCGATCACTCGAGTAACCCGCGGGTATACTTGCCGGTTAACCGGGTAACGTTTTTTTGACAGAGTACAATCACTATTCGGGAGTCCTGACCATTTTTACTTAGAACCTCGACCCTAATTACTTAGTACGTTTTTGAGAAATAGCACCTATGGTATTCGCACCATAGATGCATTTTAGTAAATTCGAATTAGGCTATGCAAAGTTAATTTTCTGGTTTTCATATACAGTATCATTAAACTTCTGAACAGATCCGAACACCCTGCTTAATATATAAAATCTTCATTTACCTGGTTATTGTTAATATAAGATATTGGATCATGCGATAATATTTATCCAATTTCGATGTAATCGTGCAATTATGATTATGCTTTACAAGTCATTATTGGCTGAGTTTAATTCGGGATTGTTTTGCTTATCGTTATGTGATAACATACAAAAAATAACAAAAAGGAAAAATCTATGAACATAAGAGTTTACACGATAAATATTAAATAAAAAATTTTAAACTTTGAATTGAAAACAATTGACCCGGCCGGATATGAAAACCAGGAAATTTACTTTGTTTCGTCTTATAAAATTTTTTTTTAAAAATTTTTTATAAAGCTAAAAATTATATACTTTTACTAAAACGCACCTATGGTGTTTATCACTATTTTGTATTAGCTTATTAAAAGTAAAAATGTTCTACGCCTCCAAAACCTTTTCCAAACCCTAATCCTAACCTAAACACTAACCCAAAAGTATACGTATAATAGGTGCAAAACCACCATACAGTAGATGAAATGAAATTATATTTTTAAAGTTTTTGTACTATTTTAAATTAGATTTGTCACAGTATTTTTTTAATAATATTTAAAAAAGAATAAGTTTTTTTTTAAATTGATATTAACAATTTTTATTTAAAGAAATGGTTGATTTATATTATATATATTTATTATATACTGTATTAAACAAAATTAAGATTTTGATAAGTTTAATAATTTTTAATAATAAAACTGTATATATATATATATAATAATAAATAGTTTGTACTAATACTAAATAAATAAATATTATCATAGATATTTATAGATTTCTTTATACTATATTATTTATACTCGAGTATCTAAGTTATCTAAGTATGATATCATACTTATGTACTCGCAGACATTCGTATGATTGGCTGTTTAAATCAATTTAATTTTATATACATTATTATTTATACAGTTTAAAGTACTTTTTAAAAAAAATAAAACTACTACGAATAAACAAAAAAGAAGTGTTTTATTGAGGTTGTAGGACTTCACTATTAAAAATAATCAAAATCCTTTTTGTTTTAGAGAAGTTAGCATAATAGCGACTTCTTAAAATTAGGTTATCACCATGCTAACTTCTCTAAAACAAAAAAGAATTTTGATTATTTTTAATAGTAGAGTCCTACAACCCTAATAAAACTTTCTATATACTTCTTTTTTGTTTATTCGTAGTAGTTTTATTTTTTTTTAAAAAGTACTTTAAATTGTATAAATAATGTAAAATTAAATTGATTTAAACAGCCAATCATACGAATGTCTGCCTATGAACTCGGATATATAAGATCCTTATTCATACGGAGTACCCCTACACAATATTCTGGCCACTAAAACGAACTTGGAAATATCCGGGTACACATGTCTGAGAAATACAGTTGTATTACTTCTATTTAGTATCCAGGTAGTAATTCTAATGTGTTAATGTTCTTGTGAAAAGTGTAGCATTATTAGAAGTGAAGAAAATTATATAATGAATCCTGTACGTACGTGTTATAATGCTAGTCTCTCCTAACGTAAGAAGGAAGTATCTTTGTTCTCTTCCTAATAAAAATTTAGAATTCTTAGTCTTCCTAATTAATGCGATGCCTTTATATCATCCGTAAATAATCTAAATATCGACATTCCAGTTTTCGTTCCGATTCTAAGTATCGCTCATAATAGTGTGACCATGACCAAACCTTACATAACGCTCTCTAACCTTATCACCGGCTTTTCTGTTACACCAGACTCAAAATTTTATCGGCGACATATTTTATCAATATGGTAATTAAATTTAATTATTTATCATATCTGATATGTAACTGATCACTGTATATATATAGTGAGTTTAATATATGTACTATCATGTGATTTTATATTTTACGTTGTCAGGGAAAAGTGCACTACATTAATGAAGTGTGATTTAGTTAGACCGATCAAATGATATACACTTATAGAGGGAAGTAAGGTTCTGACTATACGTATTTGCTTTTAACTTTTCTATGTCTAAATAGAATCTTTGACTTGTATGCTCTCACCTACATACTTGAAAATAAAATTTTTATTTAGGAATGTTGCTACAATGAGAAGATTAAAAGAATAAATTGCTACCTTAATTAGGTTACATTTATAGTTAAAAATCATGTATTACGTATAAGTATACAAAAATTGAGGCGTGCATATTTATTAAGAGGTTTAAATAGAAAGAACATATTTGCTAAGCATCTTATTAACCAATTTTAAGTAATAATTTCTATTGATGTCTTGAGCATTTATCGAATGAGTTAAAATTCGGTTATACAAATTCTATTTGAGTTAATAATGTTGATGTCTTGAGTTGAATAACGAAGAAATTAAGGATAAGGTCATGAGACTTATAACAGAGTAATGTTGTACGGAACGATCCTTAGAAACAATCGATCTTCCAAATTTCCCTTATTTTAATTATTCTATGTTTGGACTTTGAGTAATCTTAACCCCGTAATTTCGGGGGCTTCGATTTTTTCTTTTAATTTCAACAATTTTATCGCTGTTTTTTTTTTTCAACAAATTTTTTTTATCCTTTTTTTTTTATTTTTTTTATTTATTTATTTATTTTTTTTTTTGATGCCTAAAAGCATATTTATAAAATTTTCGTATTTTGATGCATGCAGATCTATAAAACGCATCGAGAAAATAAAATTCGTGTGTTTGATCATATAGAACTACAATTTAACAATTGCAAATATGGTTACATCGCATAAGAAAAAAAGATTTTCACTGTTTAGCTCTCAACCAAGTTCTCCAGTTCAGACACCAATCCTCGGATCGTCACTTAATAGTTATTTCCCAGGACAACCAATTCGAAATGATAAAACATTGAGTCTGAATGATGTTCAAAAAGCAGTCGAAAATCTTGAACGTCTGGTTTCAGATGCCGGAAATTTTTGTGATTTGGTTGATAGACTTGCAAAAGCCTCTAAAACTTTTAGCAAATCTCTCAAGGAATATGGAAATAGTAAGGGGATGGATAATTCTCATGGTAAAAAGCGGGGTTTTATATATCACATGTTACTACTGCGCACGTGATAACGCTAACAAATAGTTTTTTGACCAGTTATGTGTCTTCAAGCTGCGTCTCAATTTTATGAAAATTATTCCGATGCTCAAAACAAGTCGGTATGATAATGACTTTGAATTATTTTATTTTTCTTTATACCATATTTCGCGTAATAACGCTCATGAGCGTTATTTAGAATAATGGCCCGAATTAAGCTTAATTTGGGCCAAAATTTGAAATTACACTCCTACGCGTTATTTCGCGAAAATACCGATTTTTTTTTTTTTTTTAAAGGAATTTTTCTCATTTACAAATAGAGTAAACATCTACAAAAAGAATTCGAGACATTACAAAAATTCTGGGAAAAATATTCAAAGAAAGTTGCTGTAAGTGATAAATTAGTACGATCTTTTTTTTTTCAGATTTATCTATAAATTTAAATCTTTAGAAAGAAGAAAAAGCATTTGAAAGTGTTAATGAGCCATATAAACAAATAAAAAAAATTGATACTGATTATGAAAAGAAATCAAAGAAAGATAATAAAGCAATTTCAGAAGCTCAAGAGGTGAGATCAGATTTGCTACAAAGTTTTTTTTTTTTTTTGGGTTAAAAAAAATAAAAAACATGTATTAAATCTTTCGTAATACACTATTATAGAAATATATTACCTATAAAAATCATGTTGCAAAGCGAGAAAAACAAGCTCATGGCCTAGTCATGCAGATAATTTGTCGGATAACAGATGGTCAATTCACCTTGTTTAATGAGTCATTAAAAAAATGTGGAGGAATTGTTACAAAGATAAATGAATGGTCTGCATTTGCTACAATGGGGATCCCTGCTCCTCAAGAAATTGATAATATTTTGGAAGAGCAGGTATGAATGAATTTATGCATGTTTACCATTTTGAAATGTTGAATAAAATCATATTATAACGATAATCTATTACCTTACTTCACAGATTCGATCACCAATCGAAGATACATCCGTACTTTCACGCAAGTTATCGCGAAAATATTCACATCGTATATCAAAATCAATTGCATCTATATCAGATATGCAATTAGCTGCAATGAATTATACGCCATCAAATACTTCGACTCCTTTAATTGAAGAACCTGAAAATAATCTTTCTCAATCTTTAAATTCTCTACAATCAACAGAAATACAAATTCCACGCATTAATGCTACAAAATCAGAACACTCATCTCCTATAAATATTCTTCATCATGAACCAATAAAAAGAAATATTGTGATGAATGAAAAAACATCGAGAAATCGTTTATCTCTTCCAATTTGTCCTACATTTTCTTCTAATATTAAACCTTCAGCTCAAGATTTAATATCAAAAATCTCTATTGGTATAGATGAAAATGACGCGCCATTCTTTAGGGATTATGGTGATTATGATATACGTAATATTCACCAAATTGCAAAAACATCATCTTTAACAGGAAATGAAGTTAAAAGGCCGAATGATCAAATCAACGAGTTGCTCTCTGTAGATAATTTTAATGCCCATACAAATTTAAGTATTGATACAGAAATTGGAGATCCTGAAATTATTTCTGGTGCACAATGTGATGACACACTTGACAATGAAGAAAATGAAAACTCAAGTAACAAAAAAGTTAACAAAAAATATAGTTTTGAAACCCAATATTTAGTTCATTCATTTCCGATTAATCTTCCTGTCCGCACACCACCTTATTCGCCTTCAGTATCTCCAAAGCAAACATCCAAC